GCCGGGCCCGGACGATGGCGAGGGCGCGCCGGACACCTCGCTGTGCCGCCTCTACCGGCACGTGTCGCACGACTTCCTGGAGATCCGCTTCAAGATCCAGCGCTTGCTGGAGCCGCGCCAGTACATGCTGCTGCTTCCGGAGCACGTGCTGGTCAAGATCTTCAGCTTCCTGCCCACCCGGGCCCTGGCGGCCCTCAAGTGCACCTGCCACCACTTCAAGGGCATCATCGAGGCGTTCGGCGTGCGCGCCACCGACTCGCGCTGGAGCCGCGACCCCCTGTACCGCGACGACCCCTGCAAGCAGTGCCGCAAGAGGTACGAGAAGGGGGACGTGTCGCTGTGCCGCTGGCACCCCAAGCCCTACCACCACGACCTGCCTTACGGACGCTCCTACTGGATGTGCTGCCGTCGGGCCGACCGCGAGACGCCCGGCTGCCGCCTCGGCCTGCACGATAACAACTGGGTGCTGCCCTGTAACGGGCCGGCGGGGGGCCGGGCCGGCCGAGAGGAGGGCAGGTGAAGGCGGGGGACCGGCGGGCAGAGCCTGCCACCGCCACCCCCACCCCCATCCCCTCCTACTGGGAGCGGAGAGCCAGGACTCTCAGACCAGGGAGCATGGGTTCCCCTCCGGAGCCGAGATTGGGGTTCAGGGAGTGACCCCAGCAAGCACTAGGATTGCCTGACCCCTGTCGGTTTCTTACTCCTCAGACCCAGGGCCGCGGACCCTCAAGGAGGGTGGTTTTTTTGTTTTTTTCATCAGCATCTCAGTTTCTTCGCCATTTCAGCCTCAGCAGCCTCCCTGCCACCCTCTACATCCCAGGGACCCAGCATCAGGGAGCAGACGGCAGCTACTTTTGGTACCACTTAAGGGTTCCCCCATTCCAGCCCCCTTCCAGTCCCTCCCCCGGCTCCTCACCTCTGGGGCCGTTTTTCTCCCAAGAGGGTGTGACCTGCAGGTTGCCACCCCGCCGCCACCCCACCACCCCAGGGCTGTTAGGAATTGAGAGAAAACAGGTCACGCATCCAATTTGGCACTTTTCAGGGCAGTCTGCCGTTTTGAGATGTAGTCTCTTTAAACTCAAGCTACCAGTCTCTCCCCTTTCCCCAAAGAGGAAGAGGGAAAAGAGTCGAAAAACCCCTCCTCCCCCTATTTAAGCTAGCACCATCACCCCTACCCCCCAAATTAAAATAATAATAATAAAAGCTGTGAAGCCCTTCACCTCGCTGGCTCTTGACAGCGTGGGGGGCCAGTGGGCAGGGACTGTGGGGTTGAAGTTCTGGGTTGCTTTTCCTTCTATTCTGACTACTTGTTCAGGTGTTGGGGTCTCTTTACTCCCCCCCGCCCTCACCCCCCAACTACATGTGTTTCTTTAGAATCCATTGATTGACTGAGACCTTGATTTTCAGCAGTTTGGACTGGGGTATTTTTGTTTCTGTTTGGGGACTTTTGTGGTTTTTGTTTGTTTGTTTCTTTTTCATCATCGTGGTTCTGGAAGCTTCTAGCGTGTGGCATTTGACCAATTTTAAATTGGTTCTTTCTATAAAATCAATATTTATAAGGCTGTGCTCAGACTGGTTTGTGTGTTGAGGGTTTTGGGTGGTGATGGGCACCATGGGACTGTACATGGCAGGACTGGGAGTTGAGAGAGAACGAATCCTAAACTAAATCCCTCAGCCTGAAATTATTTTGGACTCATCTGTGTCAGTTTGGATTAGAAAACCTCAAGATAGTAGTAGCTTAAAGAAGACAGATGTTCTTTTTCTAGAAATCCACCATTGGGCAACTGTCATGCCCACCAAAGTCACCAGAAACCCAAGCTGCACCTCTCTCTCACTGTTCCATCATCCTGTCCTCATGGTCCGAGATGGCTGTTAGAGCTCCTGCCATCACTACTGTGCACGATGGAGGGAGGGACAGAGGAGAGGAAGCCCCTTTCCTCCCAGAAGTACAACACTGTACCTCTGTTTGCATCTTATTGGCCAGAAGTTAGCCATAGCTGGGTACAGTATGCCCAGCAAAAAAAACTCTTTCACTAAAGATTCCTGTAATGAAAGTTTTAAAACAGCTAATTATTTTCTAATCAAAAGGGGACTTACAACATGTTTTAAATTGAAGTACAAAACAGAAGAAGAGATATTAAGGGATCCTGATGATGGAGTCAACATTTCCAGAGATACGAGGATGTATAGGACAGCCTCAGAAAGATGGAGCCCGTGTAAGGCAGAAACCTGCAGAGAAGGAAAACGGAAATATTTTCCACCAAAATAAGTGATAGAAAAATGGTAAGACTGGACCCTGTCAAAGGCAGAAAAGACATGAGACCCAGAGGTTCTGGCTCGTACAGTTACTCAGTGCTTACTTAATGCTTAGGTTTTAGACTCCTAGACATGGGTTTGATCTCGGCTTGGTTTTGTGGGATGTCAGTTTGTGGTAGGCTCAATTACTTGCACCAAGCATCCTGCTGAAAACAACTAAAATTAAAAATTCCCTTTAAAGCATCAGAGAGCCACTAACATACAGTAAGGACCCAGCAGACTAGAAATTTAAAGCAAAGGGGCACCAAGCACTGAAGCCCCTGTTGCTCTGAGGGTGTTTGTTTGGTTTTCATTTGTTCTGTGATTTGGGTGAAAGTTCACAGAGCAAATTCCTTTTCCATACAGCAGTTCATACACATTTTGTTTCAGGACATTGACTACAGTTCCCCACAGTGTGACAGCTCTCTTCCCACTTCCTCCCTGTGGTTACCTCTTCCCTGTGGCCTTCCCTCCCATGCCCTCCCAACCCCCGTGCTGTCTCCCTGCAAACACTGGCCTTCTGTTCTCCCACAATTGATCGCTCTAAGGAGTGTATCTACCTGATGTCAGTGTTTATCCCAGATGCCTGTTTATTATTTGGCTGGAAGCCACAGGAGTGAGTTCAGTTCCAGACCTAAAGGGTAACTAGGGGCCATAGTCTCAGGGCTCTCACCAGGCTTTATCAGACCAGCAAACGGTCTTTTTTTTTTTTTTTTTTAATGATTGTGAGTTTCATTGCACATTTTTCTCCCACTTCATCCAGTATCTCCG